GAACAGCAACTCCGGCGGCCACGAACGACGACGATCCCTCAGYATCGAGCAAAAGCAGCCACTCGAGTAACAAAACCAGCGGTGGGATTTGTGCGTTACAGCAGCGTTTTTAGGACGTTTGGCGGTGACCCACATCCATTCGAAGCCCGATTTAGGCTACCCACACCTTGGCGAGCTAGATTTAAGTTACCCACACCTATACGAAGTCAATTTTGTGGTAATGAGTCATTTGAACCCTCTTAGAATTGATTTCGAAGGCTGAATAGTATATGTAACTTGCTGTTTTTTTTCTGTTTTAGTGCCTAGGTGTGAGATTGACGCAAAACTTAGGGGCGCGGTTGTGAGTAAGTAGACAAGGGGCGTGTGCGTGCGTTAATGTGTGCTACTTGGTCTCTAATGTGCTGTTTCGTGCTGTTTAATATTGATTTTTATACGCTATTGTGCTAGGTAACTCTCGTTTGTGTTAATCTGTATACTTGGTGTAGCGTTAAATATTCGTCGGTGATAATGGTGGAATTTTGCCTTGCTAAACTGCTGAAAATTGTTGTGGATGATGTATGTTTATAAAGGATGCACGTTAAAATAGAATTATTATCATTATGCTTTCTTATGATGTGGGCGTGCTTGTATAGTTTATATAAACGTTTCTTTATGTTGCGAGCGTGCTGGTCTGAGTCATATTAGTTTCTTATGAGATGTGGGTGTAATAGAAGCATATTTTCGGACCCTGTTCGCAGGCTAGGGGTTGATGTGGAGTTGGTTATGATAAGGAACGTTGGATTCTTGGGGAAAGTGAATGGGTGAGTGTCAGGGCCTCGAGTATAAATGGTCGGGGGCTGATACGTCACTAATTGAGTATCGAGGCCTCGGAGAAAAATGGTCGAGGGTCGATGCGAGGAGTCTTTTTGGAAGGAAAACTATTGGGGCCTTGGGTAAAAATGGTCAAGGGCCGATAGATGGTGAAGTCATCGGGGCCTTGGGTAAAAATGGTCGAGGGTCGATGCAGTAGTGTCGGGGCTCTGGGTAAAAATGGTCAGGGGCCGACTCTACTCGAAGGAGTTAGCTGTGGAAGGCTAGGATAGCTGTGATAAGCGTAGAGGTGCTTGAGATGTTAGAGAGACTCGAGGTTGGTAACTAATTCGTTCATGGTTGTGGTTGTCGCCGAACTTGATAGAGTGTGTCTATGTTTGATTGCATAATGTGATGAAGAGCATGACTATGAATGTTTCATGATTTTGTGTGAGCATGATGTTTGTGTGTTGTTGGTGAGGGCTACTTACGGAGTATATTTTATATACTCACCCCCCTCTACAATTATTGTTTCAGGTGAAGGATTCGTTGGCGACCATGGTGATGAGACGGAGATGACATGACGCGTGAGGACCATAGGCTGCGTAGTTACTTTTGCTTAGCTTAGGTTTAGATGGTTAAGACCTTATGGTTTGGTCAATAAACTATTTGTTCTTATTTGAATAATTGGGAGGTTCCCACTCGTTGTCTACTTTATTTCGGAATATATGTTTATTTTAGTTTTCTTCCATTCATTGAGTTTGCCTAGTTGGAATAATAAAGTTGCCTCATGAGGTTGTCCACGGATGATGTTTGATTTATATTCTATAGAGTTGATTCATTGGTAAATTGATGAGAGTTGAAGCTTTATTTTATATATTTATTTCACAGGGAGTTGTCATCTCGTATTTGGTGTTAAGTTTAGACAGGTGGGTAGTTAACGTGACCTAGAAGTGTGTGGGAAGTTCTGAGGCGTTACAATTGGTATCAGAGCTGAGTTGTTCCTGTAGACTGTCCTAGAATCTAGGTCGATAGTGTATGGTCCTTGTCAGTCTCTTTGTCATCACCAGGTACGTTTCCTAGTTCAGTTTGTTCGATCATGAATGCTTTAAATTGCTTATGGTTGAGATATCATTGTTGTCTGATATTAGAGAAGTTAGCATGTTTCCTTGGTTCATTATATAGACTTGCTTGAACTTTGCACTTGTGTTGTGCCCCGGTTAGGGTGATAATGACCTTGGTGCTCTGTTCTTTTAGACAATGGCTTTCCGGCGGAACACGAGAGCTCACAACTATGAGGATCCGAATCCTAGGGGTGAGGGAGCAGCGGATCGAAATGTTCCCCCGACAGTTCCTGGAGGGGTAACACCCCCGGTCCCTCAGGCAGCTCCTCAGGGAGTTCCCCAGGTGAATCCCCAGGTGGCGTTGCTAGCTGAGGCATTGCAAGTACTACTAGATAATGCGAATGGAGCCGGTGGAGCTCAAGTGCAGCAGCCTCGTCGGGCACAAATTCCGCAAGATGAGGTTCAGTTTATCAGGGATTTCAAACGCTTTGGGCCACCCGTTTTCAACGGGGTGAGTGAGAGGCTTACTGCGGCCGAGGAATGGGTCAGGGAGCTAGAAGCCCTTTATGTGTATTTGGGATGCTCTGACGATTTCAAGGTCCGGGGATAAGTTTTTATGCTTCGGGGAGAAGCAGTAAATTGGTGGGAGTCGGTGGCGGCAGCGGAGGATCACGCCAACGTACCCGTCACGTGGGCAAGATTTAAGGACCTACTTTATGAGTACTATTTCCCCGTGACTGTCAGGAATGAAAAACGGGCAGAGTTTCTCCGTCTCACTCAAGGGAGCCTAACCGTGGCTCAATACAAAAGGAAGTTCACTGAGCTGTCCCGTTTTGGAATGCAATATATTCCTACTGAGCAATTAAAGATCGACAAGTTCATCGACGGTTTGCGTAGGGAGATCAAGGGGCTACTTATTCTCAAGGAATCAACTACATACGCAGCGGCAGTCAGATGTGCGTTGGTTATGGACAAATGTCTCGAGGAGCCTCAGTCTCAGCAGGTAATGGGCTCCAGCTCAGGGGTCAAGAGGAAATTTGCATCGTTCTCCTCCAGTCAATCCTCAATAGGACACCAGCACTATGTGCAAAGGCAGACTGCTCCTCCGGGGTGCCCCTCTTGTAAGAAGAACCATGCTGGACCATGTTGGTTGGGAAAAAGAATATGTTTCAGGTGCCAGAAGGAAGGACATTTCGCAAGGGAGTGTCCGATGACCGGCTCGAATACCCAAGCGTTAGGCCAGAAGACCCCTACGGCAGCTGCAGCTCAAGGTGGAACCCAGAGGGCGCGCGTCTTCGCTCTCACCAGGGGGGATGTTGAGCATGCCGAGGCGGTGGTCACAGGGACTATTTTAGTGCTTAGTATGCCTGCTTACGCATTATTTGACTCTGGATCTAGTCATTCTTTCATTGCTTCTACCTTTGTTCAACATGCGGACCTAGAGCTAGAATCGTTAGGCTTTTTGTTGTCGGTATCCACACCGTCAGGATCTGTGTTGGTCACTAGTCAAGTTGTGAAAGGGGGTCAGCTCTCTTTCGATGGTCAGACCTTGGAGGTAAAGTTAATTCAACTGGATATGCAGGATTTCGATGTGATACTAGGCATGGATTGGTTAGCTGCTAACGAGGCTAATATTAATTGCTCGAAGAAGGAAGTTAATTTTCGCTTGCCCTCCGGACAAAACTTTACCTTTAAAGGAGTTAAGGCCGGGGTCCCAAGGGTGGTGCGGCATTGAAGGCCAGCTATCTTCTCCAGCGTGGTGCTTGGGCCTATTTGGCTAGCGTTGTGGATGCAAGGAAGGTTGTGCCAAGCATTGAGGCGGTTCGTGTGGTTAATGAGTTCACTGACGTGTTCCCTGAGGACCTCC